CAAACCACTTGGATCACAAGGTCAAGAATTTGACACCAGCCTGAACAACATGGTGCAACCCCTTCTCTACTATATACACAAAAATTAGCTGGGCATGGTGGCGCACGCCTGTAATCCCAGCTACTCAGGAGGCTGAGGCAGGAGAATAGCTTGAACCCAGGAGGCAGAGTTTTCAGTGAGCCGAGATCACGCCAGTGCACTCCAGCCTGGGCGACAGAACAAGACTCCGTCTCAAAAAAAAAAAAAAATTCCTAAAATTCACATGGAAATGCAAAATACCTCAGATAGACAAAAGAATCTTGAAAAAAAAGAAAAAAAACTGCAGGCATCATCCTACCTGATTTCAAAATATACCACAAATCTAGTAACCAAAACAACATGGTGGTGGCAAAAAAAAAAAAAAAAAAAAAAAAAAAAATTAGAGAAGAGACAAGAGACAGAGACAGAGAGACAGACCGACATAGACAAATGAAACAGAATAGAGAACTCAGAAATAAATTCAAGCTTTCACAGTCAACTCTTAACAAAAGCACCAAAAACACACATAGGGGAAGGACAATCTCTTCAATAAACTGTGCTAGGAAAACCCAAAACCCACATGTACAAGAATGCATCTAGGCTGTTATCTTACCGTACACAAAAATTTACTCAAGATAAAGATTTAAATGTAGGACCTGAAACTATGAAACTACTAGAGAAGAAAACATAGGAAAATGCTTCGTGAAACTGGCTAGCACAAGGGATTTCCAAGTATGTACATCAAAAGCACAAGCAACAAAAAGCAAAAATAGACAAAATACAATTGCATTAAACTTAAAAGCTTTTGCAAAGCAGCAGAAGCAATCAGTAGAATGAAGAAACAATCCACAGAATGGAAGAAAGTATTTGCAAACTATGCATCAGGCAAGGGGTTAATGTAACACAAAATATATAAAGTACTCAAACTACTCAAAGCAAAAATACAAATAACCTGATTTAAGAAATCAGAAAAAAGAGCTACCCAAAAACTTTGTCCCCTCACCTTCTTTTCCCAACCACCTTTGACCCCCTCCCTCTCGTCACCCTTTTTCTTCCTCCATCTACCCCAAAGCTTTTTTCCCACTATTTTTCCCCACTGTCATTTCGCAAAGCCTTCTTTACTCTCCCGTTCACCACTCTTTTCATCATCCATCTACCTCAAAACTTTTCTCCACTGTTTTCCCCCACTCACTAGACACCCTTTTTTTCTCCCTTCTGCTCTCATTCCCCTCTTTTGTTCCTCCATCTATCCAAAAACTTTCCCCTTGTCTTTTCCCAACGCTTTCTCCCCACTCCTGCTGCTCACCACCCTCTTTTCCAACCTGCATCTACTCAAAAACTGTTTTCCCTATCGTCTTTCGCCCCCTCCTTCTTGCCACCCTCTTTCCATTATCCATCTATGCAAAACATCTCCACACTGTCTTTTCAAAGCCTTCTCCCCACTCCTGCTCGCCACTCCTTCTTCCTCCATCTACACCCCCAAATTTTCACAAAGCCTTCCCCCTCTTCCCACTCGCCCTCTTCTTTCCTTAATCCTTACCATCCTCCTTTTGCCGTCCATCTACCCCAAAACTATTTTCCCCATCGTCTTTTTCCCAACCCTCTTTCCCCGCTCCCTCTCACCACCCTCTTTCCTCCTCCCACTTGCCACCCTCTTTTCCCACTGCATCTACCTGCTTTTTACCCACCGTCTCTGTCTTTTCTTTCCCCACCATCTGTCTTTTCTGCCCACTGTCTTTTGGCGAATCCCTGCCTCCCTCCCACTTGCCACCCTCTTTTTCTTTCTCCCGCTTGCCACCCTCTTTTCCCCCTCCATATACCGAAAAACTGCAAACTTTCTCTCCTTCCTACTTGCCCGTTCCTCCCCACCCCCCTTTCCTCCTCCCACTTCCCACTCTCTTTTCCCCCAATATCTACCCCAAAACTTTTTTTCCAACCATCTTTTCCCCACCGTCTTTTTGCAATGCCTTCTCCTGAACGCCATCCTCTTTTTCCCTTTGCCGCTAACCACTCTCTTTATCCCTCCACCTACCCCAAAACTACTTACCCGTTCCCACCGCTCCAGCCGAGTTACCCTCTCTGTCACCAGCACCTACCACGGCGAGGCGAGCTGTGGTGCCGCTCCAGCCTCCAGCCGTGGTAAGTGACGACTCCTTCTTCTGGTCCTCTAAGCCTTGCAAGGAGCAGCCGGGCAGGCAGCCATGTAAAAGCCTGAAATGGTGGGATGCCCCCTCTTCATGCTTTATATACTGAGGTTATGCAAATGAGGTTCCTGGACTACATGTTCTGATTGGATGAGAGAAAACCTCTAGGCTTATCCTGATTGGACTTTATTTTCATGCTGTGATTGGTTGTCCTAAGACTTGCTCTCATCCAATCAGAATTGAAGCTGGGAGCCCAGCTTAGAGAACGAGAAGTGGGATCCACATACCACAAACTGGAGGCTTGAGCCTGTGGCACCTAGGCTCGCTTCACTGCGGTTGGTGGAGGTGACGGAGATTGCAGCTTGGCCAGCATGGTAGAAAGGTGGCAGGGTAGGTGAGCTCTCCAGGGATGCACTACCCTGGATAGGGACCTATCAAGGTCACATTGCGGGTGGGGGTGTTGGAGGCGTGGGACGGCGGGGTTGGCTATACTGCCTGGCGGTGGGGGTGGTTGCGTGTGCTACTGGGGCCGCACCACCAGCTGGGAAGAGGGTTAGGGGCGCTATCAGCTCCTGCACTGTTATGACAGGGGGGCAGGTTGGGGGCGCTATCTGGGCTGTCACTACCCCCAGCTGGTTAGGGGCACTATTCCTGACTGCACAGATGGGGGCAGTGAGGTGATTTGGGGGCACTATCAGGTTTACGTGCCCTGTAGCATGGGGTAGGGAAGCGCTATTGGGGTTTGCACTGCACTGCTGCTGCTAGCAGCGGTCTACAGAGGTGGTAGCCATAGCTGTGGCCTCTGAGGAAGGGGCCGTTCTCCTCTTTCCAGACTCTAGATTCTAGAGGGCAACCTCCTTCTGCTCGTATTGGAGAGTGGCAGGCACGCAGTGTTTCCCAGGGAATCCTGAGCACAGTAAGGCCCCAACACCCGCCATGATTCCCAGGTCTGCACCCTCAAACTGTGTTGCAGAGACAACCTGGGTCTCCCAGGTATGGAGTAGCGGGCACCACGGGGAAACAGGGCCCTGTGGGTGGAGGCATCAGAAACAGGAACTAGCACTTGTTTGGAGACTGGGTCTGAGTTTTTGCTTCTCCTGTTCACCAAGCAGTGCAGCCAGGGTAGGACCAGCAGTTCCTGGCCAGCTCCATCTAACCAGGGGCCAGTTTCAGCAAAGGCAGTAACACCCACCCCAGTTGTGACTTCGCAGAAACCAGCCCCTGCCACCCAGTGGCCAGCATGACAAGGTGAGCCTCTAACACTCCCACTCCCTGCGACCTGTTCTAGGCATGTCTGGCTTTGATCACCCAAATGCTTCCAGTCAGAAGATGGAGGAGTCACCTGTTGCATGCTGGAGGCAGGAGCTTGCAGACGGTGTGATTCTGTGGCTGGCCTCGCTGCAATTGGTGGTGGAGACAGAGACTGCAGCTCGACTGGAATGGTAGGAGATTGTCGGCGGGGGCCAGGTGGTAGGAGGCTTGTAGGGTGGGCCAGTGCATTGAGGGCAACAGCAGCAGTGGTCGTGTTGGCCTTAGTGGTGGCAGCAGCAGCAAGTCTGGGATCCGAGAAGTTGGAGTGGGAATGCTGTGGAGTCCGCCAGGCCCAGCCTGGCCTGAGGTGGGGAGGAAGCTGCAGGTGCTGTACTGCAGGTGCTGGCAGCAGGGGAGGCACAGCCAGTGCAAGGAAGAGTCTTCCTTCTTTTTATATTTTTAGTAAAGATGAGGTTTCACCATGTTGGCCAGGCTTGTCTCGAACTCCTGACCTCAGGTGATCCATCCGCCTTGGCCTCCCAAAGTGCTGGTATTACAGGCATGAGCCACCGCGCCTGGCTTGGTTAGGTTTATTTTCTTCTTCTTTGAGATGGAGTCTTGCTCTGTTGCCCAGGCTGGAGTGCAGTGGCCCGATCTCAGCTCACTGTAACCTCCACCTCCCAGGTTCAACAATTCTCCTACCTCAGCCTCCCGAGTAACTGGGATTACAAGTGCGTGCCACCATACCCAGCTTTTTTTTTTTTTTTTTCAGTAGAGACGAAGTTTCACCATACTGGTCAGGCTGGTCTGAAATTCCTGACCTTGTGATCTGCCCACCTCAGACTTCCAAAGTGCTGGGATTACAGGTGTGAGCCACCACACCTGGCTAATCCTAGTATTTTTATACCACTGTTAGGAAGAGAAAGAATTCTGTTTCCTCTGGGAATTCTAACAGATCACGATGAGGGCCCTTAGAATAAAGCCAACACAGAGGTATGCAGACATAACAATGGAGAAGGCTGGGTGTGATGACTCACACCTGTAATCCCACCACTTTGGGAGGCTGAGGCAGGCACATCACCTGAAGTCAGGAGACCAGCCTGGCCAACATGGTGAAACCCCATCTCTACTAGAAATACAAAAATTAGCTGGGTGTGGTGGCGGGCACCTGTAATCTCAGCTACTTGGTAGGCTGAGGTGAGAGAATTGCTTGAATCCAGAAGGCGGAGGTTGCAGTGAGCCAAGATTACGCCATTGCACTCCAGCCTGGGTGACAAGAGTAAAGCTCTGTTTCAACAACACAAAGAATGGAGGGTTGCTGATGACAGCTGAACCTAGCTCCAGAAACCCCTGAAAATCCATTTTTCAGTTACTTGAGCTAATAAATACCCCCTCTCCATCTTTTTTTTCTTTTCTTTTTCTTTTGCCTTTGTTGTGGGTCTCCCTGAAGATCCAGTCTCCACTAGGATTTTCAGGGCAGGCAAAAACTCCAGCCTCACATATACACATATTCTCAGGTTTCAGAAACATGGGCAGTCAATCAGGGATGTGAGAATGGATCCAAGGAGCACCCCCTCCCCAACACCCTCACAGCCCCTCCATACTGATGCTGACGAATTGAATGTTGGCTTGGTCCGAGCCTAGGGGGTTAGTGGCTGTGCGTGTGAAGAGGGTGTAATCCTGGGCTGCAGACACATTGGCAATGGTCACGAGGCTGCTGTGGACACCACCCTGGTGGTATGTGTGCTCCGTGTACCTAGAGAGAAGGTAGGGCACCACTCACCTTTTCATTCACCCGACCACTTATGCTTGGAATCATCTATACAGACATCCATTCATTTAACCATCTGCCTATCTATCCATTCATCCATTAATCTTTTCATCTACTCATCCATTCACTCACTCATTCCTCCATGCATTCATCTTCCTTCTCTGCACCCTTCTCTGCAAGGACTCAGAGAAGGGAAATGGGGCTGGAGGTCCAGACCTGGGGCTGGAGTGCTGCCTGGCTGGGCCTGGGCTCACCTGGGATCTTGGAGATCCAGAGGGACCCCATTTTTGGTCCAAGTGAAAATGATGTTGGGGACACCTCGGACACGGCAGTGGAGGGTGGCAGAACTGGTGCTGTCCCCAGCTGCAGCCACCTTAATTAGGGGAGTGGGGTGCTCCACCTGGGGGGCAACTGGGAGGGGATGGGAGGTCAACATGAGCTATGTGGGAGACATGAGGGCTGTGGGTTCAGTGGCAGGTCTTAAAGTCAGGTGTTTGGGTGATACCCACATCTGACAACAAGACGGACCAGCCCTCGTGCTGGAGGCGCCACCCCGTTGTCCACGATGCACTGGTAAGCACCAGCCTGGGCCAGTTTGGCCTGGTGAATCTGCAGGTGCCCCGTGGGTCCCTTGGATATCTTCTCCATGTCATCCAGGCTCTGGTCCTCCTCATCTTCTCCCCGGAGGCCCGAGTCAAGAATTGTCCTCCCAGTCTAGCCCCAGATCCATCACTGCCCAAACTGTCCCTTTTGTAGCCTCATTGTCCTAGACACAATCATCCTCCACGGAGGTACTGAAGAAAAAAAACAAAATTCTCCTGTCATCCATCTGTCCATTTACCCAATCCATCATTTATCCACCAATCCAGGCAACCACCTACCCATCCATTCACCCAACCACTTATGCTTGGAACCATCTATCCATCCATTCATTCATTTATCCATCTGCTTATCTATCCATTCATCCATTTATCTTTCCATCCACTCATCGGTTTACTCACTCATTCCTCCACCCATTTGTCTTCTTTCTCTGCACCCATGTATCCACCCTTGTAGGTCTCCACCCATTCACACAACTATTCACTCATGCTTGCACACCCATAAATGCATGCATCTGTTCAGATATTTACCCAGCTACTTATTTATTCATCTCTCCATTGATCTTTCCACCCATCCATCCATCAGTTCATCCATCATCCTTCCATAGATATCTTTCCTCTGCTGGTGTATCCATCGTAGCTACTTATTTGTTCATCTCTCCAATATCTTTTCCACCATCCATCCATCAGTTCATCCATCATCATCTTCCATAGATATCTTTTCCTCTGCTGGTGTATCCATTCTCACCCATTCACCCTCATCCACTGATTTTTCTCCTTCAATCATCTTCTTCATTCACTCACCCATTTATCCATCCTTTCACTTGTCCATCTGTTCCCCTTCATCCACTCACTCATTCACATCCACCTGTTCATCCACTTACCTACCTATCAACCCATCTATCCATTCACCCACCACTCCTCGCCTGACTGGTTCACTCATTCATCCATCCAGCATTCATTTTGCCAACACAACAGTTATTCGTTCTGGGAGCATGCCCGGACGAGTATATGTTATACAGGCTCATACAGATGTACGTGGCCCTACCCCAAGGAACTCACAGCAGTCAAGAAACCACAACCCTTTGACCCCTCCTCCATTCACCAAAGGCTGGCTCAGTCTCTCCCAGCTGAACATGCCTGAGAATGGGATTGGCATCAACAAAGTGCAGACTATATCCACAGAACCCCCCAACGTTCACCTCAGTGGGTCCTGAGGGCAGGCACGGATGGTGGGAGCATCTGGTGGAAAGGCAGAGGCTTAGAAGGCACTGGGACCGGTGACAGGTCTCCATAGGAGAGGGCCCAGGTGGGAGGGGGATGTCTTAGGGAGTTCCTGGCAGTGTTAGAGAGATGTGTGGACACAATCTGCCCCACGGTAAAGAGTTGGAGGAGAGTTCTCAAGGTTAGCGAGGTTGTCTCCACCCCCTCCACGGCGCCTCGACAGTCAGGTTGGGTGGGCTTCCAGAATGTGGGGGCCTACAATGGGCTCCCCACATTCCCGATGGGAGCAGCTCGAGCCTAGGATGCGGGGCCCCCCCTCTGGGCAGAGATTCCATGACTGGCCCCCTAGTGTAGTGGGTTGCGATGTGGTGTGGTTACACCGCAAGGGACTCTGTAGGCTTGCACAGAGGCTCCAGATGGCATATCCTGCGGTGGTCGGAGCTCCCACAATGAGGAGACTCCACATTAGCGCATTCCTTTGGGTGTGGCCTTTATGAAGTGACTTGCCAGTGCATATCCGTCAGAATTGTTATGAGATGCCTCGGCATGTGCCCTCGGAGTTCTGCAGTGGTAGCTTGAGCAGCGGCCAGCGCCGTCCACAAAGGCTAGCTTTCCATGATCTCCACAGATGGCAGAGCCCTGCTGGAGCACGATGTTATGCCGGGGTCCCGCTTGGGAAGGCCAGAATGTAAAGGATCGTGTGTGTGGCCCTCCCATTCTCGACCCTCCTCATGCCTACACTTCCTCACCCGGGACCAGAGGAAGAGCTGGGCACAGAACCAGCAGCGCCTCGGAGCAAAGTTAGCAGACAGGACACGGGGCAGCAACGCCTCACCCTGCTCCACCACGGTCACCACCTTCACCTGCTCCCCAGGAACTTTGGACGGCCTCGCTGAGGGGGTGCCGCAGGTTTCAGATTGGAAAGTTGGGCGTCAAATCGAAGCGACAGATTATGATCAGGCAGGTCCAAGGCTAAAGCTAGAATCACCACAGGGTCAAGGACACAGGACACAAGTTCAGAACTAATTCAGGCAAAATTTCGAGATAGAAATCAGAATACAGTTTGAGAATGATAAATGTTAATCGTGGTTGTCGAAGGATGGAAAGAGGGGGTCGACAGGGATCAGTTAGGAGGAGAGGACAAAGGCAATGTGGAGTGGACGGTGGATGATTTGGCCCTTAAAGAATGGTCAGATGAAGGTAGAGTTTCAAGTTTCAGATGGGTTAATGATAGAGTGATAGTGTCAAAGCAAAAGACCCAGGCCAGCTCAGTGGCTCACGCCTAATCCAGAATCTTGGGGAGCTGCGCAGGGAGATCACTTGAGTCAAGGTGTTCAAGATCAGCCTGGCAGCCCTGTGAGAGATACCATCTTCTTCTACTAAAAATTAAAGAAGCAAAAATCAGCCCAGGTGTAGGGATGCGCCTGTAATCCCAGCAATTTTTGGAGGCTACAGGAGGATTGTTTCGGGAGTGCAGGTTGAAGACTCAGCCTGGGGCAACAGGAGGCCCTGATGCTACAAAAAAAAATTAAATCCAGCCAAAGTGGTAGCACACTAAGCGAAGATTTCATTTGAGGGCCCATAGGTGGATCACTTGAGCCCAGGTTGGGAGGCTGCGAGTGTAAGTGATTGCGCCACTGCACTGCGTGGCCTGGTTACAGAGGAGACTCCACAAGAGAGAGAGTATGTACACAAAGGAGGGAGGAGGAAGGAGTGAGGGAGGAGGAGGGGGAAGGAAGGTGGGGCTGGGCTGAAGGAAGGAAGGAAGGAAGGAGCGAAGTCAGCCAGCCAGCCAGCCAGCTGAGCCAGCGCCAGCCACACGCAGCCGGGTATGGTGATCACAAGGACACCTTTGGGTAATCCCAGCACTTTGGAAGCGCTGGCATGGAAAGACGACCCAAGCCTAGAGATCAAGACCATCTGGCCAGAACACGGTGAGTCCTGCAAACCTACACCAAAACTGTGCCAAAAATTAGCCGGGCTGGTGGTGGCTGTGACTGCAGTCCTGTGCCACTTCGGGAGCTGAGGCAGAGAATGGTGAAACATGGAGGCGGAGCTTGTGAGCCTCAGATCACACACTGCACCCAGCCTGGGTGATGAGCCAGACTCCGTCACAAAAAAAAAGGAGGTGGGGTGGGGAGTGAATAAAGAGAGAAGAAATGTACAATTAAGAGGACCTTCTGCCAGTGCACACACAGCACGTTGATATATATAGGAAGGAGTCACTGCCATGGAGTTTCGGCGCTTGTGGGCGGTGCAGGTCACGCGGCCATGATCGCTGAGACATGACACACTCTTTCGTATGATTTACTGGGCCGCCTGGAGCCTGAACGGCTCTCCGGGGCGGGACTGCCCTGGGCCTGGTGGGGACCGGGGTGAGGCCAGGCTGCAAGCAGGATGGGAGGCTGGGAGGAGGCTAGGGACTGTGGTGGACTCTCGTGGAGGGGCGAGGCCAGAGAGGTGCGGTCCTCCTACTCCCACCTTCGCCTTCCTGTCCAGACGTTGGACCAGTGGCTGCGCTGCTACTGCCGATGGATGTCGTTTAAGGCGCCCTGCAGCGGATGCGCTGGCCAGGGATCCTCATGTTAGTTGGGGAAGAACTGGGAGAGGGGCTGGAGGAGCCAGAGCTCGAGCCAGGGGCGGCCTGGTCTGTGTCCATCCCGCCTGCACCCCAGCCTCCAGCCTCCGTACCCCACCCGCCCTCAAGCCCGTGACTCCCCCGAGTTCAGGGTTCGCGGGTCCCTGCCCCAGCTGGCTTCAGTGCTGTCCTCCTCCACACCCCCGTCCTGCCCCTGGCCGCCAGTCCGCCTCGGCCCCAGCCAGGCGCGCCTCACACGCCGCACCTGCCAGCGTGGACGCGCTGAGCTGGGCTAGTCGCAGGACGTGAACTTGGCCTACAGGTCCGAGACGGTTCCAGACCAGCACCAGCTCGGAGAAGGTGCTCCCAGATTTCATCCACGCTGCTGTTTGAGCGGAAGCGCCGGTGGTTTTAGCTGCAGTCGAAGCTCAGCACAAAAAAGTGAGTCCTAAGGAAGTAGAGATGACTGGGGCCACAGGCAGCTCCTGCCTCCACCATCCCAACTCCACACCCGGCCCAGGCTGTGCTGGCCAGCCCAGAGTGAAAGCCTTTGGTGATAGGGAGAAACACTTCATCAGCGCCACCCCCAAAGCACTGTGGGAGTGAACTGAGTGACCTTCTGCTCCTGGAGCCTCCTCCCGCCTCCCTGATCCTCGTGGTCGGCAGCGCTTGAGGAATCTGCCTTCTGTACCACACTTCCAACCTCGCTCGCCCTGCAGCCACTCTGCAGGTCCTCACCTCAAAATCTATTTCTGCTCTGTTTACCCAACACCACGTGCAGAAACCCTTGAAATTCCCAGGCCTCTCTCCCCATAATGCCTCAGCCCTTTCTTAAATCTTCCACCACCAATCCCCAAAAAGATTTCCTTGAAATTTTCCTTTAATTCCAGTGCTTTCCATAGAGCCATTTCTTTCTTTATTGTTATATTGTATCAAATAACTCTCTTCTCCAGATTCTTAACCCTTTTCTCCATATTATTATTATATATTCATAGTAAGTTTCAGCCTTAAGACTTTCTTTATACGTTTCTGATTCCTCAGCACTTCCTGAGAATTTCCATAATCCTATATTGAAAAACATGAAATTCCCATTGTCATTTAGACCTCAGTCCTCCAAAAATTTTTTCAATTCAGCTTCCTAATCTCCAGAGATTTCTTGCAGACCAGTTTCTCTTCATTTTTAATATGAATTTCATTTTCACTCCAAACTCCAAGAATTCAGCTTAATACTAATGAGTTTCTTTGATAGTCTGTGGAATTTATTAGCTTTTCTCCAAATTTTTCTTTTTCTTTTTCTTTTCGTTTCTTTTCTGGGATTCAAGTCTTTCCTTGTACTCTTTGACATTTCACCTGAATTTGGTGAGGTTTTTCACTGTGAATTTTCCACTAATGAAATTACCTTTCTAGAATACATAATCTTGATTTGTAAACAATTACATCTTAGAATTCTCACTTCTCGTTTCCAGAATTTTCCTTAGATTCCACTTCAATTCTCACATTTGTGTCTTTCCCCTGATTCTGCCAAACCCTGTAGAATCTCTGTGGCAAGTACTTTTCAAGAAATTTAATCTTTTTCCAAGATTGCCCAAGATTCTGAAGGAAAGAAGGGGGCTTGGTCCTTCCCCCATATTCCTGGCCACCCCCATAGCCGTGGCGTGGCACCAACCTTGTACCATGTGAGGGAGGGCTCTGGGTTGCCCCCGACGGCCAAACACACCAGCCTCACCCGGGTCCCAGCCCGGAGCTTCTGCCCCTCAGTCCACAGTTTCTGGGCGGGATCTGAGAGGAGAGGCTGGAAGAGTGACTTTTTCTCTGGGCTGAGTCCTGAGGCTTGGGGCATTGCTGGGCAAGGGCAGACACTCACATTTTACGTTCAGGGTGAGCGAGTTCTTGAAGGTCTCCTTGGTGAAGGCTTCACTGAAGGCCTCACATGTGAGGGTCAGACCATTGTCCTGCCGCACCAGGAATGTCAGGTTGGACATGGAGACGTAACCACCATGTAGTCCCTGGCAGGGAATGAGCTTGAGATGTGGGGACTGCAGCACCCCCATCCATTGTGCTAGAGGCCTGAGTCCATCCCAGTCTCCAGCAGGGACACATGAGTCATCTCTACCTCCTCCTCTGTTGGACCCATGGTCCTCAAGGAGAAAGCCCCCAGGCTGCTGGACCCATCCCCTTCCCAATCCACGAGTCAGGCCCTCAGCAACCCCCATGCTCAGACCCAGGAGCTTGGCCCCCGCCTCACATCCATGATCGTCTCCTCCATGGGCAGCAGCTGCCGCCAGCCCAGCCACCATCGTAGCAGGACCCGTGGGCGACTGGACTTGCTGACACAGGAGAGTGTCACGTTCTTGTTCTCAATCTGGGATGCAGATCCCAGGATAGTAATGGCACTGGGGGGAACTGCAGGGACAGAGAGGGAAGACACTAAGCTGAGCTGAATTTCTCACAGACCAGCCCAGACAGAACAACAGGACTGGAGACAGATGCTGAGATCTTTGGCATCCAGTAGGCATAATTTGGGGGCACACATAGATGGTTCTCTGAGGCACAGACCGACAGGTGGGCAGCTGGCACCAGGACTCACAGGTGACCTGCAGCATGATGCTGCGCTCCTGGGTCCCTGCAGACACGCTGTTATGAGCCTCGCAGCTGAGCCGCGCTCCATGGTCTTCTGGCCTCACGGTCATCACCAGCACACTGTGGGCCACGGCCTGGGTGTGCTCTGTGCCCCACACTGTGGACACCAGCTGGCCATTCTGGAGACAGGGACAGGCCTGGGCCAGCTCAGGACCAGCTACTGGCCCCACTCTCCCCACAGTTCACATGCCCGCGTCTGCCCTCACCTTCAGCCACTGCAGTGTGGCTAAGGGATTCCCCCCTTGGGCCACGCATGGCAGCTCCAAGCTCTGTCCTGCCTGCACGTGCCCCTCATCCAACCCTGGCCACTCGATGACAGGGGGTCCTGGAGGGACTGGGAGATATCAGTCACTCAATGGGCCTGGAGTAGCCCATCCACTCTTTCCAGGCCCCACAACCTGCTTTTGAAACCCCATGTTTCTCTGAGTGCCTGAATTTCCATAATCCCTGTGATTCCCTTACACCCCCCCAGTGCCTGCTCCCCATCCTCAGCGCCCTAGTTGGCCCAGTTCTCCACTTACACAGAACATTCACGGTGAATGAGGCCTTGATGGGGGCCTCCAGTGCTGGGCTAGACGCCTCACAGACTAGCAACTGCCCATTATCCGAGCTCTGGGGTGTCACCCTGGGATGAGAATTCACGGTTCTGGAGTCAGAGTCATCATCTGAAATTTGGGGAGTCAGGGAGAAGAGGTGGGGATGCCACCTCTGGTCCCCACACCTGGTCGAAGTCCCCATGCCGATCTCCTCTGGGATCCGGGGTTCCATGGGAGAGATTCTAGGAGTGAGCAGCGAGAACTGGAGCCTAGAGAGACCCACATCTGATCAAAACTTTAGTGCCTGGGACTCTGGAACTGAGGTTCCCATGAAGTTTTTTTGTTTATTTGTCTTTTGAGACAGAATTTGGCTCTGTCGCCCAGGCTGGAGTGCAGTGGTGCGATGTCAGCTCACTGCAACTTCCACTCCTTGGGTTCAAATGATTCTCCTGCCTCAGTCCCCTGATGAGCTGGGAGTATAGCCATGTGCCACCACGCCAGGCTAATTTTTGTATTTTTAGTGAAAACAGGGTTTCACCATGTTGACCAGTTGATCTTGAACTCCTGACCTCAGGTGATCCACCCACCTCAGCCCCCCAAAGTGTTGAGATTACAGGCATGAGCCACCACCCCTGTTCCCTGTGAAGAAGCTTTGAGAGTCAGCTTTGAGAGTTCCCCATGAAGAAGCATTGGGTCGCAGATGTTCATACCTAGCCCAAGCTTCATGCTTGCATCCCTCGGGTCTGTGGTTCCCATGGGGAAAATTAGGGGTCATAGTTGGGTTTTTTTTTCAGTTTCCACACCTGGCTGTGGCCTCCACAGTGAAGAGCTTCTGCTGGGATCCCTCGTTCATGTTTGCAGAGATGTCGGATATTGTCTGTCCACCTTGGGGCAACAAGAGGGCTAGAGGGGTTCTGGGCTCCCCGCAAGATAGATTCTGGGGAGCATGGCCTGGAAGTCCTCAGAGTGGATGTGATGCCCCCTCCCTCCTGGTTCTAGAGGAAAAGGGCCTGGAGCACAGCTGGATCCCCTCCCGACTTTCTGGACGGCCTGAAGGCTGCAATCTTCAGTGCTGGGTCCTGGGCCTCCCCACTCCTCTCAACTCCTTGCTGGGCTGTACCATGCACCCCATCCCTCAGCTTCTCATGTCTGCACCAGCGCTACTGCCCATATCTCTATCTGGTCCTCAGCCTTGTGCTGGATGCCGCCGCCTCAATGTGCCCTCCCATCCACGGGGTCCCACACTGGCCTCAGCATCTCCTCACACCTTCTCCTGGGTCCCCATCCCAGGGATGACATCTTTTCTGGGGCCCTTAGGAGGGCACTGGTCAGGAACACACACCCTTCCCACTCCAGAGGCTTCATGCTGCCCCCTGCCACCCAGTTCACCCTCACTCACTCAGGAGAATGGTGATGTCAGGTGCTGGCTTCACGTCTCCAGACAAACAGCTGACCACGTACTCTTGCCCAGCTACCGAGGTGACCATGGTGCCTGCCTCCGGGGTCAGGTGGAGCAGCTTGGGAGGAACTGGTGAGAAGGGTCTGGGGTAAGCTTCCAGCACTGAGAAGGATTTGAAGATTGGAGCTCAGTACCGAGGGTCTGGGAGAGGAGAAGCTGGGGGCTTGGACTCCTGGGTCCTGGGGTAAGGGAGGGCTTGAAGCCCAGACTCGTGGGTCCTGGGGGTCTGTCACCCATACCCAGGATGGAGAGGATCACTCTGGGAGACACGAGCTCGGGCCCCATCACGGAGCGGCCGACCTGGCACTCATACTGCGCTTCATCACTGAGGTCACAGGCCTCGATGTGCAGGTGGAATTCACCTGCAGGGAGAGCCGGAGGTCAGGGTTGCAACTTGGGCTGGTGGCTGAGGGTCTCAGGCTCTGATCCCTTACCTCTAGCAGGGTCCCCTTCCAGGCGGTACCTCAGGAAGCCTGAGATCCTGGGGTCGGGGCCCAGGAGCAGCCCATCTTTGGCCCATTGCACCGCACTGCCAGGGGTGCTGACCCCACACCGCAGCTCCACCAAGGTCCCCCCTCCACCACTGCCAGGTTTTCAGGCAGGGCCCAGAAGCCCTGGGGGATGGAGGCAGGAATCACCAACTGCGTCAGGCCTGGGGACACAGCAGGGTGCAAGGAAAGGGCAGAGGGTTTGTCTAGGGAAGGTAAGTGGGAAATGGGGGCCACTTGGCGCTGGGTACAAGGCTGGGATCCCACTCACCTTCAGTCAGCAGCCCCAGGAGCAGGAGAGGAGCCTTGAGCATCGTCCCCAGGGCCATCACAGGTCCCCCTACTGTTACCCCCACAGTGCCCGCAGCCAGCCACCTGCGTCTGTCTGGCTCTCTCTGAGTCCCTCTCTCTGTGTCTCTGTCATCTGCTTTTTTTTTTTTTTTTATTCTCCCTTTTTCTCCCCCCTCTTTTTCTTTTTCTTTCTCCTCTGTGTGTCTCTATCTCTGTCTTGCTCTCTCAGTCTCAATCTCTGAGTCTCTTTCTCTGTCCCTTTAAAATAATTTTTTTTCTTTTTTTTTTTTTAGAGACAGGGTCTCATTATGTTGGCCAGGTTGATCTCAGACTGTTTCCCTCAAGCCATCCTCCCACCTTGGCCTTCCCAAGTGTTGGGATTACAGGCATGAGCCAGTGTCCCCAGACTGTCTCTTTATCTTTCCATCTTTCTCTCTTTGTCTAAGGCATTCTCTCTCCTTTTTTCTCTGTCTCGTTCTCTCTCTCTCTCTCTCTCTCTCAGTCTCTATCTTCTCTCCTGCCACCCCTCACCCCTGCTCCTTGTCTCAGTACTCACGGCCTCTCAAGAAGGACCTGCAGCCCAGAGTCTAGCAGGCCAGGAGCCCAGGAGAGCAATGAGGCTGATGCAGGCACTGGCAGAGTTGGCCCTGCTCTCTGACCCAACTTGAGCTCATCCTCACAGTGCAACCTCCCCCAGGTGCCCTCCAGAGCCCCCAGCTCCGGCCTCTGCCCAGCAGGCTCCTCCTAGCCAGCTGGGCTGAAGCATAAAATCCCCTGTCAGCACATGCCAGGCGTGTTCCTCAGTGCCTCCCCAGCCTCCATGGCCCCAGGGCCTGGCTTAGGCTGGGAGGATGGGAGAAGTCAGACCTAGGTGGTCTCCCAGCTCAGCATGGGAGCAGCCAGCTGGGCCCCCAGCTCTTCCCTGCCCTGATACATGACCTTGGGAAGTCCCTTTCTTTTTTTTTTTTTTTTTTCTCAAGGTAGTCTTGCTCTGTTGCTCAGGCTGGAGTGCAGTGGCATGATCTCGGCTCACTGCAGCCTCCACCTCCCATGGCTTGAACCTCCCAAGTTCAAGCAATTCTCCTGCCTCTGTCTCCCAAGTAGATGGTACTACAGTCATACACCACCAGGCCTGGTTAATTTGTATTTTTACTAGAGACGGGGTTTCATCATGTTGGCCAGGCTGGTCTTGAACTCCTGACCTCAGGTGATCCATTTGCCTCAGCCTCCCAAAATGCTGAGATTACAGGCATGAGCCACCGCACCTGGCCTCCCTTCCTTTCTTGAGTAGACATTAGCGACTAAATGATGTCAGGGATCTCTGCTGGGGAGTATGCAAGAGTGAGTGTGAGAGACTGGGAGAGTGTAGGAGAGAGGGAAGATATCCGTGTGTGTACGTGGGTGTGAGAGTGGAGAAGGTTAGAGTGAACTGTGATCTGTAATAAGCACATGGAGAACGTGTGTGTGTGTGTGTGACAGTGTCTTACATGGAAGTGCACAGGGTGTGGGCAGGAGTAAAAGGCAGAGTCCAATTCTGCCTGCCCCCAGTATGGGTGCAGTGTGAGCCCAGAGTGGGCGCCCTTTGGCAAGGACTGTATGAGCTTTCTCCTGTCTCTTTTTCTTGCCGTCTCCCCCATCTCTTCTTTCCTTCTCCATGTCTCTCTCTCTCCCTCCCTCTATCCATCTTGATTTATCTCTCTTTCTTTTGAGATGGAATCTTGCTCTGTTGCCCAGGCTGGGAGGGCAGTGGCATGATCTTGGTTCATTGCAGCCTCAACTTCCTGGGCTCAAGTGATCCTCCTGCCTCAGCCTTCTGAGTAGCTGGGACTACAGGTACGCACCACCACTCCAGCTAATTTTTAAAAATTTATTTGTAGAGACAGGGTCTTGCTCTATTGCCCAGGCTGGACTGCAGTGGTGTGGTCATGGCTCACTGCAGCCTCAAACCACCTGGACTCAAGTGTTCTTTCTGCCTCAGCCTCCTGAGTAGCTGGGACTACAGGCCCACATCACCATTCTGGCTATTTTTTTTTTTTTTTTTTTTTTTTGAGAGGGAGTCTTGCTCTGTCACCCAGGCTGGAGTGCAATGGTACGATCTCGGCTCACTGCAACCTCTGCCTCCCAGGTCCAAGCGATTCTCCTGCCTCAGCCTCCTGAGTAGCTGGGCATACAGGCATCAGCCACCACACCAGGCTAATTTTTGTATTTTTAGTAGAGACGGGGTTTCACCATGCTGGCCAGGCTGGCCTCGAACTCCCGACCTCAGGCAACCCACCTGCCTTGGCCTCCCAAAGTGCTGGGATTATAGGTGTGAGCCACTGCGCCTGGTCACTTGGCTAATTTTTTAAAAATGTTTTTGCAGAGACAGTGTCTTGCTATGTTGCCTGGGCTTGTCTGGAACTCCTGGGCTCAAGCAATCCTCCCATCTCGGCCTCCCAAAGTACTAGGATTACAGGCATGAGCCACCGCACCCAGCCCTTGATTTGTCTTTCTTTTTTTCTTTTTGTTTTTTCTTTTCTTTTCTTTTCTTTTTTTGAGATGGAGTTTCACTCTTGTTGCCCAGACTGGAGTACAGTAGTGTGATCTCGGCTCACTGCAACCTCTGCCTCCCGGGTTCAAGCGATTCTGCTGCCTCAGCCTCCCTAGTAGCTGGGATTACGGGCATGCGCCACCACGCCTGGCTAACTTTTTGTATTTTTAGTAAAGACGTGGTTTCTCCATGTTGATCAGGCTGGTCTTGAACTCCTGACCTCAGGTGATCCACCCACCTCAGCCTCCCAAAGTGTTGGGATTACAGGTGCAAGCCATCGTGCCCAGCTGATTTATCTTTCTATGTTTCTCCATCTGTTTGAGACTCTCTCTCTCTGTATTAAGTGGTTAAATCTCAGTCAATCTCTATTTCACTGTCTCTCCGTCTCTACATGTCTCTGTTCTTCTGTTTCTCTGTCTCTGTTCTCACCTCTGTCACTCCGCTCACCCCACACTCTGTCTCACACACACCAGGAGCTCCATAAATATTTGTTCTTAGCCGCACTCTGACCACGCCTCTTTCTCTTATGTGTCTCTCCATCTCTGAGTGGCTCCCCTCATCACATCCCTGGATTTTATAACCATATGCTAGTGGGCCTGCCCTCCCCGCATGCACATACACTAGCCTGGGATAAGCTTCTTCTGCCTGCTTATCTCCTGCGGGAATTGGAAATGCTAGTTTTCTCCCCACCTCCCCAAGACCTCCCCGCCACCTGCATCTCGTTCCCCAGAAGGAGATGAGGCATCTGGCCCCAGCCCCCAGCTTCATCCTCCATGCTGGCCTTCCCTCTTCCCTCACATGCTTGACTCCTTGCCCTCCTCCCACCTCCCCTCTCCCAACTGCCCCCTACACCCCCTGGGAAATGGGCTGGATGCCGAGCTTGGCGGGGGGATGGCTCTGTCCTGGGGGCCCTTGCCAGATGGTGTCCCTAGGGGCCAGAGCATGGAGCTGTCCCTTGCTGGGGCCTTTAATTAGCACAAACCTTCCACCCTCCACCTTGTCTGTTTTCCTTCTCCCAGTGCTCTTGGGACCTTGGGCTCTTCATCTTTCCATGTACGTGGCCCCAGAGAGCCAGGAAGGGGAAGCTGCACCAAGTGCCTGGAAAAACAGTCCCACTACTTGAGTTCCTCCCCAAGACTCAGGAGTTCGGGCCCATGCCATCCTATTTCAAAATCCATGCACTAGATATGCCACATAGAAGCCAGGAGTGTAGGCCCCCAGATCGCTCCCCTCTCAGACCCTGGGGTCTCAGTCCCTTCTCTCCAAGGACTCAGGAATTTGGGCCTCTGATCCTCCTGGCCACCCTACCTGCCCCTGCATCCCCCAGCCCCCCACCGGCCCCATATACACACACACGCACACACACACAGACACACACACACACAGGACTTAGGACAGATGTTCACTTTCTGATTTCCAAATCCTCCTGGGCCCATGTGGGGGTGGGGAGAGATTGGCAGTTAAATCCACCGACTCTAAGACTTAAGACCAGATATTCTGACCCCTGTCACCCTCTTCCAAGTGCACCATGCTGCAGGCAGGAGACCTAGGAGTTGAGTCTCCAGCCTCTCAAGGAACCAGGCGATCAGGCCATCAGCGTCTCAGCCAGCAAAGGCCTGAACCACCAGTCCCTTACAATCCCGTAAGTCCAGCCCCTACTCCCAACCCCACCCCGCCATTTAGGGACACAGAGTCTGAGCCTAAGAACAGCGTAGAATCTGAATGTGGACCCCCCAGTTCTTACAGGTCCAGGAATGTCAGATCAGGGTCCCAGCCCCCCAGCCCTCCTTCAGGCTGCTCGGGGTCCCTCCCACCTGCTTGGCCAGCTGCGCAGCGTGGGAACGCCCCAGCTGGGCTGCATGGAGCCCTCAAGACAAGCTGTGCGGTTCCCAGCCTCCCTGCCTGCCCCGCCCGGCACCGCCGCTTCCCAGCCGTCGCCAGGCAACGAGGCCGAGGGGCCCGGCCGGCCGAGTGGGGAGAGGGGCTGGGCCGGGACTGTGGGGTCCTGGGAAAGGAGGGGCCGGGGTCCTGGATTCCTCGGTCTTAGGACGTTTGCAGCAGTAACAAGGGAACAGCCCTCTGTTCCCCACTTTGAGGAGGGATTTTGAGGCTGAAGGAGTCAAGGCAGGGGTCCCAACTGTCCCCCAGGTATCGGCGTGCCCTCTTCCCGACCCGCAGGCCAGGGGAGCCCCGGACCCCGCCTCCCCCAGGGCGCGGAAACTGGCGAGGCCCCAGGGGCCCTCATTTATAACTCGGTTTCCACTGAGCGCAGTCCCTCCAGGACCTGGGCTGAGCAAGTTTCTTCCACTCTTTCCCTTCCCTCCTCCTTACCCCTATGCCTGCCCCTCAACCTCGGCAGGGCGCAGGTGTCCAACCCAGCCGGGACCCCCTCCTCGAACCCAGGTGTTCCGGCTCCCAGACCCCAATTGAACTGGGGTCGTCCACCCGCCGGGGAACCCCGCCCTGCATCCCCCATTCATCCGCGTCCAGCCGCGGGCGTTTCTCAATGGGAAGAGGGCGGAGCTCCCAGGAGGCGGACCCGGGCGGGGCGAGCTGGATCGGGCCCTCTTGGGGTCTCCCAGAGACCCAGGGCGCGGAACTGGCAGGGGTTTCAGAGCGTCAGAGGCTGCGGATGAGCTCACTTGGAGGACTCCAGGCCAGAGACAGGGGTTCTCTAGGCTGGGGCGAAGAGTCCAGTGCGAAGGGGGCTCCGGGCCAGGGTGACGGGAGGAGTGCTTCCGAGGAAGAAGTTGACAGGGAGGCCCCTGCGACTGCAAATCTCGTGAACCTTGGGGGACATACGCTCAGGATGCGGGTCCCCGCCCTCCTCGTCCTGCTCTTCTGCTTCAGAGGGAGCGCAGGTACCGCACGAAGGGAGCGGATGAATATGGGGTGGGTGTTGGGGGATTGCTTGCAGGCTGCCCCTTCACTAGGGAGAAGGGAGTTGGGGGCTGGGACCCCTGGGTCCTGAATGAGGGGGCTCTTGAAGGTGCTAAGCTTAGCCCTGCTGCCCCCAACTTTCCTAGACGCGTCGCCCCATTTCCTGGAACAGCCAGAGGACCTGGTGGTGCTGCTGGGGGAGGAAGCCCGGCTGCGGTGTGCTCTGGGCGCCTACTGGGGGCTAGTTCAGTGGACTAAGAGTGGGCTGGCCCTAGGGGACCAAAGGGACCTGCGAGGTAAGAGGGTTCTCTCCACGCTGGGACGGGCTGGCTAGGGGTAGAGTTGCTGGGCTCGGCTGTACCTGCAGTTTCTATTTTGACATTTTAAGTTTGGGAAATTGGTGGGCTTGGGTAAACATTTAGGAGTCCTCATTTTTGAGCTGCTTCTTTGGGGGTGACCCATAGAGTTTTGGAATTATTATGTTATTGTGAAATAGTAAACAGGCCAGGTGCGGTGGCTCACGCCTGTAATCCCAACGCTTTGGGAGGCTGAGGCCAGAGGATAGCTTGAAACCAGGAGTTTGAGACCAGCCTGGGCAACATAACAAGACCTTATCTCTAGAAATATATATATATATTTTAAACTAATTAGCCAGGCGTGGTGATGTGCATCTGTAGTCCCAGTTACTCAGTAGGCTGAAGTGGTAGGATTGCTTGAGCCCAGGAGTTCAAGGCTGCAGTGAGCCATGATCAAGCCACTGCACTCCAGGTAATGGTGAGACCCTGTCTCAAAAAATAAAAAATAAAAAAAGGAAAAGAAAGAAAGAGAACATAAATGCAAAAAAGTACAGTACACATAAACGGAAGGTTTACCAAATAATATAGACACTGACACAGCCAATACCCAAGTCCACTGCCAGCTCCCCAGAAGCCCCCGTATTTCTTTCCCCTATCATAGCCCCCCTCCCCCTCACTCCAGAAGTAGTATCTAACCTAACTTTTATGGCAATCATTTTCTTGCTTTCCTTTCTGAATTTATTACCCCCAAGTTTGCAGTGACTCTGGGTTGGGAGGGAGTTAGAGTCTCTATGGGCCCAGTACACACTGTTTAATAGTGTCTTACCACCAAATGTGTGGACCAGTCAGAACCATGGCATGCTGCCTCCTCCCTGACTCCAGGGTGGTCCCGGTAGTGGATATCAGGGAATGCAGCCAATGGTCAGCATGACCTCCACATTAGGCCCGTGGAGCTAGAGGATGAAGCATCATATGAATGTCAGGCTACACAAGCCGGCCTCCGCTCGAGACCAGCCCGACTGCACATGCTGGGTAAGGACCTCACCCACTTGTCCCCTGGGAGCCCAAGGGGGCAGCTCGTACTAGCTGTGAGTAGCAGAGTCCAGGGAGCCCAGGGGAGTGGTCAATTGGAGCTGAGAGGATCAGGATCCATCTCTGACCCCAAATCCACCTTGCAGTCCCCCCAGAAGCCCCCCAGGTGCTGGGCGGCCCCTCTGTGTCTCTCATTGCTGGAGTTCCTGTGAACCTGACATGTCGGAACTGTGGGGATGCCCGCCCTACCCCTGAATTGCTGTGGTTCCGAGATGGGATCCGGTTGGATGAAATCACCTTCCATCAGGTCAGGTCCAAATTCCGGTGCTAGCCTTTGCCCATTCAGGAAAACTTGGGGTACACTCTGACCACAGGCTCATCTTGAGGAGAAGAAGACATGGGAGGGTAGGGGTTCAAGGGTTTGGACTCTTGAAATATGATGCAGGGTAAAGATTCTAGGGCCAGACTACCTGGGTTCAAATCATGTCTCAGCCACTTGCTAGTTGATTGATCTTAAGTTAGTTAACCTCTCTGTGCCTCAGTTGCCTTATCTATACAATTGGAATAATAATAGCATGCATGTCATAGGGTACGGTGAGGATTAAATAAATAAATACCTATAAATGCCCAGAAGAGTGCCCAACACATAGTGAACCCTATATAAATAAAACAAGCTTATCCAACCTGTTGCCTGTGGGCTGCATGCAGCCCAGAACGGCTTTGAATGTGGCCCACCACAAATTCATATACATTCTTAAAACATGATGAGACTTTTTGTAACTGTTTAGCTCATCAGCTATCATTAGTGTTAGTATGTATGGCCTAAGACAATTCTTCCAATATGGCCCAGGGAAGCCAAAAGATTGGACACCCCTGATGTAAGGGGTAGATGGCATTATTATTCTTATCCACCCCTCCAGACCCTGCTGAAGGAAGGGACCCCTGGATCAGTGGAGAGCACCTTAACCCTGACCCCTTCCAGCCATGACGATGGAGCCACCTTGGTCTGCAGGGCCCGGAGCCAGGCCCTGCCTGCGGGAAGGGACACAGCTATCACACTGAGCCTGCAGTGTGAGTGCAGCTGGCCCTGGGAAAGAGGGGTGTGGGGCACTGACTCCTGGGTATGAGGAAGGAGGGGGGGACTGTGGCCCCTGGGGAATGAGGAAACTGGGACCTGGATTCCTGGATCTAAGAGAGCAGGAGAGGGCCAGGTATGGTAGCTCATGCCTGTACTCCTAGAACTTTGGGAAGCTGAGGCGGGCGGATCATCTGAGCTCAGGAGTTTGAGAACAGTCTGGCTAACATGTCAAAACCCATCTCTACTGAAAATACAAAAAAATGCCGGGCATGGTAGCACATGTTTGTAATCCCAACCACCTGGGAGGCTGAGGCAGGAGAATCACTTGTACCCCTGGAGGCAGAGGTTTCAGTGAGCTGAGATCCTGCCACTCGGCAACAGAGTGAGACTCCGAGCAGGAGAGGACAGATGGCTGGGGGTCCCTGGGGAAAGAGAAAGCTGGGCCTTGACTCTCATATCTGGGAGAGTAGGAGAGGATAGAAGTAACTGGGGGAATTGGGAACTGAAAGCCCAGACTGCTGACTCAAAGGGAGAAGGGGATTAGGGGCCCAGACTCCTGGGGTGGAGGAACCAGGGACTGGACCCCTAGGCCAGTGACAGAGGTGTTCCTGGTCCTTGCCCACCTGACCATTGTCGCACCCTCACGGACCCCCAGAGAGGTGACTCTGTCTGCTTCACCACACACTGTGCAGGAGGGAGAGAAGGTCACTTTCCTGTGCCAGGCCACAGCCCAGCCTCCTGTCACGGGCTACAGGTGAGGACGAAGACCACCTCTCCCTAGCCCCAAGAGTGAGCTTGGGAAGGGCTGGGACCTGAGTAGGTGTGCCAGAGAGCAGGGACAACGCTAACAGCGCCACCATTTCCTCAGGTGGGCAGAAGGGGGCTCCCCGGTGCTCGGGGCCCGCGGGCCAAGGTTGGAGGTCGTGGCAGACGCCTCGTTCCTGATTGAGCCCGTGTCCTGCGAGGTCAGCAAAGCTGTGGGTAGCACCAACCGCAGCACTGCGCTGGATGTGCTGTGTGAGCTGGGGCGGGGCTGTGGGTGGGGTCAAAGGTGGGCGAGGCTTTCAGGGTTGCTGAGGGGCGGGGCTTGGAGGGACGGGGCTGGGAGAGTGGGCGTGGGGTATTAGGAGGAAGAGAGTGGACTTGCGGCATATTCTTGCGCCCTAGAGGGTGTGGTGTTTCTGTGGGGCTGATCCCGGGTCAGGGACTGCATTCCTCCCCGGCCTTGTGACCCCTCATCTCCTTCGTCCAGTTGGGCCAATTCTGCAGGCAAAGCCGGAGCCCGTGTCCGTGGACGTGGGGGAAGACGCCTCCTTCAGCTGTGCCTGGCGCGGGAACCCGCTTCCACGGGTAACCTGGACCCGCCGCGGTGGTGCGCAGATGCAGCCCTAAATCTGAGGCGGTGGCTGGCGGGGGACCAGGCTTCCTTGCAAATCCGGCTTCTGACGCCCCTTCTCTGTCGCAGGTGCTGGGCTCTAGAGCCACACTGCGCCTTCCGTCAGCGGGACCGGAGGACGCAGGCGACTATGTGTGCAGGGCTGAGCCTGGGCTCTCGGGCCAGGGGGGCGGCGCCGCGGAGGCTCGGCTGACTGTGAACGGTGAGAAGGCGGGGCTTCCTAGGGGACCTAGCCCGTCCTGGGATAGGGAGTGGACAGAGGGGGCAAGGGCTAATGCAGTGGGAGTGGCCTGGAAGGAGCTTTACACCCAGCGGGGCCTGGAGACCTACATATTAAAGGAGAGGCTTTTTAGGGGAATCGGAGTTGGGAGGCAGCATGGCCTGATTGATTAAGGTTAGCGGAGAGTGCGCTGGCCGGACCAGGCTTTGTTACAGCCTTTGGGGAGAGCAAGACCTCTCCTCTTGAGTGACCCACCGTCTCCATCCCAGCTCCCCCAGTAGTGACCGCCCTTGAGTCTAGCCATGGAACTAGTCTCCACTACAGTGGGTTGCCATCTGGGTCCCAAAGAGATCCACAGCTTGCTGACAAAGCTTTTCTTAATTGGACTAACCCTGCCCAGCTAGCAGAGCCCACCTGCTGTTCATTGCCCTTGTGAGCCACATCTTCATTAAACCAATTCTAGGTCTGTTTCATTTGCTTTTTAAAAATTTAACAAATGAGCTTAGGTAGCTCCTTCAACAAATATACAAAGCCACAGATGCAGTCCTATGTCTGGCCAAAATATTTTAGACCACCAAATCAACTCAGTGGGGTTGGAGCCTCGTGTCATGTGTTATTGACACTGACAGCATCTGCAGATGGCTTTGTTTTTCCTCCTATGGGCAGCAGTCACACTAATAAAACATGGAAGACTTTACTGCTTTTCCAGTATGCTAGCTTTTCTTCTCAGGGAAGAGAGGATTTATGGAGCTCGAGAGCCCTGCACCCTAAGATCCTTGCCTCAATCACTCAGCAGGTGCCAACACTCTAAAGCCAACAGGACACCAGCTCAGGTAATGGATGCCCAGCCCAGAGGCCTTGAAACCTCTCCATGAAATAGTTTGCCTCATTATGGTCCAACAAATGACAAACTATCATACAACCACAAGAAGGGATTCACAGAAAAGCAGTGTAGAAGCTTCAGATAACGTTTTGATGTAAGAAAATTCAAAATAGCAATATTCAGAATGGTCATACACTCTGGATTCAACTATGCCAAAATATTTTTGCAAGTGGAACCTAGTGGGAACATAATAGATAGAAATCCATTATTTTACTAGCGTGTTACAAAAATAATTTATTAATTATTTCATACTTTTAAATGTTATCAGTTTGGCCAACATCGTATAAGATTTCAAACATAAAAGAATTATAATATCCATTATAGCTTTTGTATACAAAGGAAATTCATAGCCATTGATTATGTATGACATGTCAAGGGAGGTACATAAAATATTGCAATTAACCCTCACAGCAAAATTATAAGTTTAGATAGTATCATCTCCTTCTTTCAGATAACACAAAATAACTTTCTAGTAGTTGACTACAGTGGACTGTGATATGGTTCCAGATCTTTACTTCCCCCCCAGTAATAGGATCATCTGTCTATGCTCTTTGCTATGTAAATTTGCAGTGTTCCTTTGACTATGGATTTAGCTATGTGTCTTGTTTTGGCTGACAGGATGTTAGCAGATGGGATGCAAACAGAGGTTTAGAATGTGCTTTTACAGTTGGACCTGCTCTCTTGCCCCTCTGCCATCATCAGTCTAGCCTTCTGGTCCCAAAAAGACACATAAAACAGAGCCACCCCCACTGAGCCATGCCTAGATCAGTCTATCCCGTACCCAACAAACCCCCAGGCTGCCCCAGCAACACACAAGCTAAACTAGTCCTTACTGTTGTATACCCTGAAATTTTGTGATTGGTTACTACCTAGCCACTAGTTCTGGCCAAAGGTAAACTGAAAAGTGACTAAGTTAGAAGTCAAACCAGACATAAAATCATAGTCTGTTTTCAGAGTAACACAATCAAAGTCTAAAACTTTTTCAAATCACACTTGATACATGGGCAATCAGGCTGAACCAAATGGCATATTGAACAAGTTAGTCTTTTTCATGCTTCTTGCTTTCCCACTAAAACCTCCCACACCTAAATATTCAAATTGATGGTCCATGCCCTACAAATGACAGTAAAGTCTATTAAACCTGTTCCAATGCAAGTCTTGCTGTGTCTCACCGTTTAAATGTTATCAGTTTGGCCAACATCATATAAGATTTTTGAACATAAAAAAGAATTATAATCTATTTTCAGTTTGTTAATTTTTTTTGTTACTACTTCAAATCCACTGTTGAGCCACTCTGGTAAATGTTTTATTTCAGTTATGTAATTTTAAACTGAATTTGCTTTTGGTTTTGTTTTTGTAATTTCTGTTCGTTAACATTCTCTATTTGATGTCACATTGTCATCCTACCTTCCTTTACTTCTTTAATCACAGTTTCCTTTAGTTCTGTGAACATATTTGTATAATGGCTATCTTAAAATATTTTGTTGCTAGTATGATATCTGGTTATTCTGCAGCAGTTTCTATTTGCAAATCTTTGCTCCAGTGTTCCTCCAGTGTGTGGCTTACAATATTTTTTTGAGACTGAACATTTTAGATAATATATTGCAGCAGTGCTGGGTACTGGAATTCCCTTCTAAGACTTGTGTTTGTTATTTTCTTGTTTATTTTTCCAGTGATTGGGATTTTATTGAAGTCTATTTCTCCCACCCCTACTCCCTACCCCTACTCCATAGTGTTAAACCTCTGATGTTCCTCCTTAGGGAGATACAGATTTGGGTATGACCACAGTCACCCTCGAGGTGACATCACAGATGAATGTGTTGGTTCAGTTCTCTTTCTTTCCCTGTTGACTCCTGGCTGTTTAACTCTGCTAATTGCCTGCTGATCATTCTGTTGTTTTCAGCAATTCCCTGGGGCATAAATTTCTTTATAAAGTAATCCAATCAAATGATGACTCCTTTGGAGACACAGTTCCTGAGGTTCATGTTTGGTTGTTCTACAGCCCCAGCAGGATTTCTCCCAGCTGTTTTATTCTCAGTTCCTCCTGCAGACAAGTTGGCCTACCACGTAGACAGTATTGTCTTAAGACCTGAACCCATATGCATCAATTGCCTCTCACCAGAGGCCCTTAGGTTTGAACTTCTCCACTCTCTATGGCAAATGAAGTCAGTTCTAAGCACAGGAAAAGTTAGGGAGCTACTTGTTGTATGGCGTGCTTCTCCCCAGGCAAAGTCTCAGAGACAGCTCTCAAGCTGGAAGTGAGGATGATGACAAGCCCTTCTGCTCTGGCTGAGTGCTCAGTGGAATTGGGGATCAAGGGTGTGACATCAGACTGGGGTCTTCTTGGTTTACCTCTTCTGATATGGAACCATCAGCCCACAGCTCTTGGTGGCACAAGAGTGATCAGGGACTAGTATTTTCAGCCTCCTCTGTTTGCATAGCACAGACTGAGAGGAAGAAGGGAGTCCTCACCTCTCACCAGCACTTGCCTGGAACTAAGCCTGGGCAACAGGCAGCTGAGGGCAAGATGAGAAATGCTGATATCCTGCTCCTCCCAGGAAGAAAGCAGTAGGGCTGGGGGAAGAGAGAACCTGTGTTCTTGGCCACAGCCATCTGGAGTGGAGTCTCTACCCTCCAGCTGAGGCAGGAGGGATGAGGAAAGAGCCACTGAGCTGGGAGGGGAGAGGAAGGAAGGGTCTTGGGGCAGATACCAGAGACTCGCTCCTTTCCTGCTGAATCTTCATAGACTTGTAGTCACTGCTTTCATTGCCATTAGGACCATTTATAGAGGCTTTAGTTTGTTTGGCTTTTTTTTCTTTTGTAGTTTTCACCCACTTCACTGGTGAGCAGGTCACTGGAGTTCATGCTGTGTGCAGAGTAGGACTCCAATTACTAGTTTTACATGTGTGACTTTCGTAATTAATGAAAAATGTAAAATGAGAAGCAAACAATCTGGAAGTATTTTATAGCAAACCTGCTAATTTAGACATGTAGAAACTGAGGTCTAAATTCAGTGGCTCCAAACTGATTAGTAAGCAGGGCTTGAATACCATCTATTTCTCTGTATACTCATGTTCTTTTCTTGCATCAACCTTGACCTTCTTCTGCCTCAACCAACTTCTTCTGGTATCTTTGCCTGTCCCCTGGCTCCAGGCCCCTTTCTAGTACTAGCCATACCTCTTGCTCTGGATTAGCATGCCCCAGGGTTTCTGTTACTCTTCAGCTACTTCTTTTTATTTTATTTTATTTTATTTTTTTCGAGATGGAGTCTCGCTCTGTCACAGACTGGGTACAGTGACGTGATCTCGGCTCACTGCAAGCTCCACCTCCCAGGTTCAAGCCACCTCCCAGGTTCTCCTGCCTCAGCCTCCCAAGTAGCTGGGACTACAGGCTTCGCCACACCACGTCTGGCTAATTTTTGTATTTTTAGTAGAGACGGGGGTTTCACCATGTTAGCCAGGATGGTGTGATCTCCTGACCTGTGATCCACCTCAGCCTCAAAGTGTTGAAGTCACGGGCGTGATACTGCGCCCAGCCTCTTCAGCTGTTCTTACTACAGGGAGCTGCTGCAATTTTAATAAGGCAACAATATTTCCAGTCCACTATAAAACCATACTGGTCTTACCTGTACCCGTGGACAGAAAATTGATAAAATTAATAAATATCTTGGAGGAATGAAGGGAAAAAAAGTATTTAGTGTATTTATTACCATGAAACTATATATACTTATAATGATGATTATGTAATTAATTATATTTATAATTTTCCTAAATAAAAAAAAAAATTAATAAATGTTGGTCCCAGTTTTACCAAGAAAATGTGTGACTGTTGTAGATGAAGGGGATGTGATCATTGTAAAGAGTGTCTGCAGACCAGGAGATTTTCAGGACAGTGAAAGGAATGCTCTGCCATGCTATTATAATATTGAATTACATGTCATTACCATCCGTCCCGACCCGCAGAATGTACACCACCAGAAGAAGCAGCTGATGTAAACCGTGGACTTTGGGACGACCACTACTGATCTCAATGTGCCACTCTATTTGGGATGTTGATAATGGGAGACTGTACAGATGTAGGAGCAGGGGTTATGTGGGAAATCTCTATACTTCCTGTCAATTTGCTGTGGGCTAAAGCTGTCTTAAAAAATATTTAGATCTTAAAAGGGAGGTATATCTGCCCAATGGCTCAAGAGAGACACCTAAAAAACTATATAGGCTGCAATGCAAGTGCAAATTAAAACTACATTGAAGGCGGGGCACTGTAGCTCAAGCCTGTAATCCCAGCACATTGAGCGGCCAAGGCAGGTGGATGGCCTGAGGTCAGGAGTTTGAGACCAGCCTGGCCAACACTTAAGCTAAACCCCATCTCTACTAAAAATACAAAATTATGTGGGCATGATGGCATGCATGTGTAATCCCAACTACTAGGAAGGCTGAATCACGAGAATCACGAGAATCTGGGAGGTGGTGGTTACAGGGAGCTATGATCGCACCACTGCATGGCGTGGGTGACGAGAGAGGCTCAATCTCAAAAAAAAAAAAAAAAAAAAATACCGCATTGATTGAAATATCACGACCCCTGTT